GCATTACCTCACGGATTTCTTGTTGTAAACAAGATATGCGCCGGGCTATTCAATGAAATTTACAATACGACCGACATTTATCAAAATGTTTGGTTGAAATGTTTCACCCAACAAAGGAAGTGAGGGGTTCCAAATCAACCAAAGGCTACGAATGAGTCTGAAATGACAACGAATTTATGAATGATTGTCGACAAATGGAGACATAAAGGCCACACCCAGCAGGCAGGTTGCAGTCGGGCCTTGAAAAAAGTATTCATTTTATCAGTTCGACGAAACAGACGCTTCGGTCAGATATGGGATTTACATGCAAACCCCCGGCCCCAAATAAATTACGCCCGTTTATTTATTTATCATGTTCATTTAATGCCAAATAATTCTGTTGGAAATTTTTGTTTCTAATAGCAAAAAAGTGGACAAGATTATTGTTTTCAATCCAGGTACGGCCAGAATTTTTGTTTAAGGCAAAAATCAGGGTCAGAATTTTTTCTCTCAAATATCTCAGACTGCCCCCTCAAATCAAATGGACATTAGACTTTAAATCTATCTAGAGCTTATTGACTGGGGATCATTATTCAGCTATGTTATTAATAAGCTGGGGCGTGTGGGGTTAAACATGTTTTCGTAGGTAAATAATATTGCTGTGGAATTTTTTTTCCATTAGAGTGTAATAGAGTATTACTTTCTGTTTGGTGGAGTTGTGAAATAGAAGTCAATAAATACGTTCTTGCTCAATCCTTTGTCGCTTTGAAGATGTCATGCTTGTCATCCGCAGCCTATGCAATGTGTTACTGTAATTTGAATTTCAAAATGACTGAGTGACGTTTTTTCGACGCACTGGTCAACTCCACCGTAGCGAATCACATGATTTTGTCTGAATGACATAATCAATAATATATTACAGTAAATACGAGCGAAACATATCTTTATAAGTAAAGAATTGTCGCCGATAAAAATTAAATACGCGGGAAATGGCAACGTTCACGAAGTCTAGTCTGATTAATCATTTTACAAAAAAAAAAAAAAGTGCAAGCAAAAGGGGGGGGGCCGTACGCCCTCTACGCCCCCCTCTGGATCCGCCACTGGACTATAATGGACCCTGGTCATGAATTCTAATCATCTGAGATCAACCTTTCTAAATTTAAAAGTAAAGATCACGCACCCTTATTGTTCAGATTGATAAAGTCTTTTGTATCCGTCGACATTATCTTCGATTAAAGATCTGATAACCACAGTGACTGTACATGTATACTTTAACGACCGGGGTAGTTTTCTTATAAGTTTTTAAAAGTAGTAACCTCCCTTGTTAATGTGATGTTGTAATCAATCTATTTATTTGTACCATCTATATATAATATTATATTGTACAATTTAAATTTATGATTCGTTTAATATTTAAATATAATAATTTATTCTTTATTAAAGATATAAACAAGGTAATTTGAAAGGCTTTGATTCATTTATCACCGTAGTTCAATTCATAAGTCAGGCGGTCTATTTTATCTACATTATGTTGAAAGAACACCGGGGTGTTTACATTGACATTATTTACTATCAATGACTGTGAAACAAGAAAGGAAAACATTGTACATTACAAAACGAGAAATAATTAAAATTGAATACAACTCTTGTTTAGTGAAATCAAAAACGAGAAACGGAAACACTTTTGATTTTCATTTTGGTTTTAGAGAAATCAAAAATTAAAAAATTAAAACACTTTCGTTTTCCGTTTTGGTTTTAGAGAAATCAAAAACGAAAAATGAAAACACTTTTGTTTTTCGTTTTGGTTTTTGAGAAATCAAAAACGAAAATTGAAAACACTCTCGTTTTTTGTTTTTTGTTTTTGATATTTCAAAATGAAAAACGAATGGACGCAAATATACACGGACCCAACCATATATCTATCTACATATACATATACATCTATCTATCTATATATATATATATATATCATATGAATCTATATTATGAATAAAAACTGTGGCCAGATATCGCCAAACCATATATGTATTTTGTTTTAATGGCACCATCTGAGATAATCCAAAATTTGTATAAAAGTGACACCTAACATCCAGGTATTCCAACATCAATCCGAATTCCGATAGCAAAAAATCTTATTCTGAAGACTCCGTATACATACTATAAGTATTTGATTGTAATTATATTACAAAATATTAATCACATGATGCTAGTATTACTAGACTTGCAATTGCTTTACATCAATCCGACACTAATTTAGTGTTTCGGCGGTTTTTGTATTATATGCTAATGATAAATGTATAACATTTATGAATGGGTTTAAGCATTGTAGGGATTTACCTATCAATTTATTTTAATGTTGTCGTTGTCAATAGATCTGCTATATTTTTATGCTTTTTATAAGCTATTATTGGTTTGCTTGAAAATATTTCGTTGCAAACCGCATCCTGTTTTAGTAGATCCCAATGTTTACTAATGCATTGTTTTAATTTATGAATGCATGGATTGAATTTCGTTGCCAATACTAAAGGAATTTCCTTTGTGTGTTTTTTGGCTTTTTTTCTAATTAAATCAGATCTATTACATGATAATGCCTCATTTAGGTACTTTTCGATTTCAATATCCTTGTATCCTCTATTTATTAAGTTCAATCTGAACTGTAACAAAATGTATTGTAAATCAACATCATTATTTGTTGTTCTAATGTATCTGATAACTTCGCCCTTGATAAACCCTGCAAACACGTGTTGACTGTGACAGCTTTTACGATCTAGATAAAGGAAGGCATTTGTCGGTTTAAAGTGTGTTTTCACATCCAAGATATTTTCATTAGAAAACCTAGTTCCTTTGAAAATATTAACATCAAGAAATATTATTTCTTTAGATGAAAATTCTAGTGTGAATTTCAGGAACGAATGATGATTATTTGCTAACTCTAACAAATCCTTTATTTCCTTCAAATCGCCGTGATATATTAATATAATATCATCACGATACCTTCCATAGAAAAAGATATTTTTTCTATGTTCAAACTTAGAAATAATTTCTTTCACAATTTTATACATGAGTATATCACAGATTTCCGGGCTTGGCACTACTCCTATCGCGGCTCCTATTTTTTGCTTATAAAGCTGTCCATTAAAATCAAAAATGTTGTTCTCTAAAATTGATCTGAGGAGATAGATTAAATCATCCGTGGGTGGGCATTTGATTTTGTAATCTGATTTATCAAACTGATCATACGAAATTCTAACTGCCGATAATAATTCATTAATCGGGCAATTAGTGTACATTGATACTACATCAAAGCTACACAGCCAGCAATCTGCATTAGGCTTGATCCTTTCCAACTTGTATATTAGATCCGACGTATCCTTTATATAAGTGTGTTGTTTTTGTACCATAGGTACTAAAAAATAGTCGATATAGCGTCCAATAAATTCTGTGACAGTACCAATCTGAGATATGATTGGCCGACATGGCGGCATTATGTTATCAATGTTAAACCCATATTTATTGATTTTTACTAATTCCAATTCATTTAATCGGTGTATTTTAGGCAAGATATACATATACCCAGGCCCATAATCAATTTGATTACCATTATTAAGGTAATTAAATGTGGAGTAATCTATAACACCTTTGGTGTACATGCCTTTGACATGTGTATTGATATTACATCTTAGTGCTTTTATTTCAAAGTTTTCCAATTTGGTGTAATGTTGTGTATTTAATTGGCGATCGCCTTCAAGAAGGTAATTGACCTTATCTAAAATAACAACATTATTACTTTTATCGGCTTTTTTAATGATTAGTGATTCATCATTTAACAGAGAAGAAATGCCGGACCTCTGTGAAACACTTAGATTGTTTCGAAATTTTCGAATTTGCATTGAAGATAGTTCGTGCTTTGTATTAAACAGGTAATTTTCAAGGGTGTTGCAGGTTAAAGGTGGCGTGTGTCCAGATTTAACTCTGAAGGGATGAATTTCATCCAAGTTACCATGATATAAGTAACGACATCTCATTTTTCTGGCTAATTCATCGAAATCAAGTAATAAATTTTTTAGTTATAATGTATCAGAGGAGAACCAAACCCTAAACATATACCATTGACAATGACGTATAAAAATATCAAAGTCAGGTGATACCTGCCAGACGTCAATGTATCCTTACAACCATTCTATACACACAACACAGTTGGATATAACCAGAGGATTCCGAAACATGACAAGCGAACATCCTTAAAGTATTTGAAAAAAATCTTCGCATTAACCATTTAAACATGGCAAAGTGTTTAAGGTCAGAAGAAAACTTCCAGAATGTGCACCTCATAAATTATTCTATAGAGCACATGTAGTTGACATTCTGCTTTATTTCCTGAGAAACGGAGAAAATCACGCATTTTATCGCTGATCACTGATCTAGGATATGAGGTCAGGGTCAAGTGAAGCCTAACTGACTTACATTAAGACTTTTCAAGAACCCATTTATCAAACGTACATGTAGTTATCTTTTTAATCAGAGTAAGTGAGAAATTCATATGAAAAAAAACAACAAACATTCAAGTATTTGTTAAGCCTGAAAATCAAATCAAGGAGAACGGGCATATGACAAACATAAAATACGTAACGGAAAGCACCAGTGCACAAGGTCTGATACACTAAGGTCTCCAACCTTCTGAAATATAAAGTTTTTTTTATAATTCATAAATCAAAATAATAAACTGATATTAAGTATATGCTTGAGTAGCTGCAAAATCGAAGTTCTTATAAGTCTTTGTGTGCGCAAAATTATCCCAAGGATCATGGAAGCTATTAGTTTACAGATAATGCGTTAGCAAATCCATGTGCACGGGTTTTTCTTCACGACGTCATTTCACAATGGACGTGACGACTAAAGAAGGTTACTACCTAGTAGAAAGGTGTAAGTCCTGATTCCGCAGGAGGTAATATGGTACCCACATCCTAAATATATACACAAATAGTACAGATACCATTGTTGACTTCAGAAATAAACATTACCTGATAAGGTGTCAGAGACAGCCCAGTTTCCTTGTGAACTAGACTGACACCCACATCCTTCGCAGATACAACATCACTTCCTCCAATGGTAGTACCAATACTAACTCTGTAGGTAACATTTAAATGTGGATGTGCAAATCCGGACCAACGTGCAGCAATTATGTTGGTAGCCGTCTGAAAGTCGAAGTCTTGTATATCCTACAAGAACAACACCTGAATAAGTTTTAATTCTTAACAGGTATAAATTAATTCATTTAGATGCGCCTGTATCTACAAACTAGAGGCTCTCAAGAGCCTGTGTCGCTCACCTGATTCTACTTTGGTTTTGGAAATCATGTAAAAATAGATTTAAATCATAACAGATACCCTAATAATGAGTGAGGCCAAATTTGGTTTAATATTGGTCCTGTAATTTAATAAAAAATCCTGGTGGCCATCTTGAACAGTAAATCGGCAACAAAGTAGCAACACTTAATCAGCACCTCATAAGAAACATTTATGCCATGTTTTGGTTTCATTCCATTCAGTCCACCTCTAGAAGAAGCATTTGTATGTATTTCCCATAGGGTCTTATGTTAAAGGAAGTCCCCCCATTGGCGGCCATCATGGATGAAGGATCAGCTTCAAAGTAACAAAACTTAGTCAGCACCTCATAAGGAACATTCATGCCATGTTTGGTTTCAATCCATTCAGTATGTGGTTCTCTAAAAGAAGACATTTGTATGTATTGTCCATAGGGTCCTTTGGTAAACATTGTCCCCATCTGGCAGCCATCATGGATGAAGGATCAGCTTCAAAGTAACAACACTTGGTCAGCACCTCAAAAGGAACATGCATGCCATGTTTGGTTTCATTCCATTCAATGGTTCTCTAAAAGAAAACATTTGTACGTATTTCTCTTAGGGTCCTATGTTAAACTAAGTCCTCCGCTGGCGGCCATCTTAGATTATGGATCTGCTTCATAGTAACAACACTTGGTCAGCACCTCATAAGGAACATTCATGCCATGTTTGGTTTCATTCCATTCAGTGGTTCTCTAGAAGAAGTTCAAAATGTAAAAAGTTAACGCCGACGACGGACGACGCCGGACGACGACGGACGACGAAAGACGGACGCCAAGTGATGAGAAAAGCTCACTTGGCCCTTCGGGCCAGGTGAGCTAAAAAGTAAAGTAACAAAAACTCTAAACTCCGAAAAAATTCTAAACGGAAAGTCCCTAAGCAAATGGCAAAATCAAAAGCTCAAACACATCAAAAGAATGGATAACTAAAGACAACAGTAGTATACAGGTGTTTAAAAGTCTTAAATCGATTGAGAGAACACAAATCAGGGTTACAAACCAAAACCAAGGGAAACATATCAACTATAAGAGGAAAACAAAGGAACAACAGGAACACCGAAGTGCAACAAAAACAAACGCCAACACACATAGAAACGAACTATATGATAACAACTGTCTTATTCCTGACTTGGTTCATGCATATATACTAAAAACTTTATGGACAGGTTATATTTATTCTTATGGGCACCAATTGCACCCTTTTAAAATTTCTGACTTGTTTCAGTATTCTGTAAACCACAGTTTATGACCAAACTTAGTTAAGATCTGTCTAAAGTCCATTTAATTGATAAATTCAACAACACTTGATGAAAATTATCTAAATATACAGCAAAAATTTACCCACTGAAAACAAGTGTATGTAAATAATAAAACGTAAAGCCAGCAATACATGTCATTTCATAGATTTGGATATCTAAGTCTCACACTGGAAACTCTATTAAAAACAGTTACGACAGAAGAGACAATTTTCCCAATCGTGCATAGTTTCCTTTTTTGACTTCGATGTTACTTTATCCCCATATTACGGTGATTACAAATGTATATAATCAGAGCCCGTAAATTAAGTAACGATCAATGATAATTATAAGATCTTAAAAAAACAACATTCTATAAGGTTGTTCATTTAATAACACTGTGCTGATATCTTTGAATATTGGTTTTATCAGTACAGGTACAAGCATTGATTTTGAATTCATCAATTACGTGAAAAACATTACTAAATTTTTAATCAAATTATAGTCCTTTATCCGGTTAAAACGTATATTTATGGCATTGCACAAGATTTTAGTGTATGTTTGCTGATTGATATTTTGCATTGGATTTAATTAGTTGCAATTGGCATTGAACTAGCTTTGAGTAACTGTAAGTACTCTTAGATTGGTTTTTTGCTTGTTTGTTTTTGTTTTTTGTGTTGATCTGATGAGTCAAGTCTTTTTAAACTTATTTTTACAATTGGTTCTTATGTTGCGCTGTTTAACAACATACAAAGGTTATGGGAGGGTTGAGCGCTCGCAAACATGTGTAACCCGTTAATATTCTGTAATTACCTTGCCCAAGTCAGGATCCTGAAATCAATGGTTGTAAGTGGTTGATCTCTATAATATTTGGTTTTGTTTTTTTTGGTTTTGAACATAAATCAAGCAGTTGGGTTTCTTTTGTAAATTTTTTTACATTTTGTTATGTCCTACAGTTCATTGTGTCTCTGGTTCAGGTTGATAGTTGTCTCATTGTCAATCAAACCACATCTTCTTATTTTTTATATATACACTTCATACATCGAACTGTAATAGCCGATTGATTCAATTGATGCAGAGGTGTTTTTTTCATTTTTTTTTACTTTTCCCACATATTCTTAAATCTTAAGGCAAATTATCCATATCAAATGTTAACCGACACTAAAGTGTCACTCTTTGGTTAATTAACTCACATAAAACCTCAACTTCAATTGGTGAAGATGATCTTAAAAACACTATTTTGCAATATTTTGTGAAGCCTTAAATATTTTCATTCATGAAAAAAGATTTGTAACATTACGTTGCTAATGTAAAGAGCGAATCACAAAATTACTTTGCCAATTTTAAAATATATTTTTTATTAGGACCTAAATGGGAATTTAAGAGAAAAAAACCTGTTGCATTAGACAGTAATTTGCACTGATGACCTCCTAAAATTAATTGGAAATGATGAAGAAAAATTTTGTGCAGGTTTTATATTTTTTTGATGAATAAGAAGGCTGACTTGGTGTGTCTGTTAAAGCAAGAAAAGCAATATTTAAAAACGTAATACTTGTATTAAGTACGATTCCAACTTTTAAGCTATTTTATCTCTAAGATTTAAATGTTTACATACCTTGAATTGGATGTGTGTTGGGATATCCTGAAAAATAGAATAAAAAATAAGAATTATTGAAGCAAACATTAGAATTAAATAACATTAATAATTTGGATACACCGGTCTTTATAAAAATAAGCTCCTATGAACCTAAATGTTCAAATGTAAAAAAAAAATGTTTCAAAATTATAGACAAAATAAGTAAAAAAACTTATTTTAATAGCAATAACTCTTAAAAGGAGTCATCGAATATTTTTGGCATACAAGAAGTTTTATAGAACTTATATTGCTGATTATTGATGCTGTTTATAGTCTTCACTTATCTATTTTAGTTTTTGAGATTGTAGGTGAAAACTCATCAATCTTTGAAACATTGTCGTTTAAGGGCAGCAACACCTACATGTATATAGAGTCATCCAATGGGTTCAACAATACAGGTATTTCTAAAGAGCATGTTTTGTCTATCATTTTTGCGATTTTCAGTTTCTTCCTATGGATTATTATCTATAAGATAATAGAAAAAAAAATAAACTTGAAATTAATTAAAAAAAATCTTAAGGACAATTACTTATATAGTGAGTCATCTGATAATGTTGGTGCAAACAGGACGAAGGTAGATGTTAACATCTTGAGCTTTTTTTATCACTCAGATTTTTCTATATATTACAGTTTTTGAGATATAAGACAATAAGTATACGATGACAAGTAAATACGTCAAAACTCGTCATTTAAGGCTACAACTCCGTAAATGGTTATTCATTTATTTCAGTTGTTTGGTTTTTTCGTAGATCTTGTGTTTCGGATTATTTTATCTATCATAGTGTTTGAAATAATAGGCAAAAACACTTTTGTCAATAACCACTTATAGGGTTATCCAATGGTTTCTGTCATTAGAATTTTTATAGAGATTGTATTGCTGATCATTTTTGGTGTTTCAATTTCTACTTATCTATTATATTTTTGACATCATATGCAAAAAACTCACAAATAATAAAAAAAAGTCATTTAAACGGCACAACTCCTAAAGTAGTCATCTAATGGCATTTTGGGTATTTAGAATAAAGTTTGAAATTTAAGACAAATAATGCAATTTACCCGTATATTTTACTTTTAGCAATGACGATCCTGTTTGTTGACTGACAACACAAACTTTAAACAAGATAACCAAAGTATCGTGCAGTTTAAGAATGACTGAAACTAGTTCAGTCGTTTCACAGGAGAAGATCTTTGAAAAAGTTAACGAAAGAAGGACGGACGCCGACTACCACGAACACCAAGTAATGGCAATAGCTCAAATGGCCCTTGACCAATGAAACGTTAAAATGACGCCAAAGAGATATGATATCTACCAGACGGACCTATGCATATAACAATCATTCCATATACCAAATATAGTTGACATATTACTTATAATACCTGAAAAATAGACAAAAACTTAAATCAAATTTGATTTTTGTTTCATGTAGTTTAACAAAAATGTGTTTCTATAAAACAAAATGCACTGCTTGCAATATACAATGTCCATGTTCAGTGACTATGGTCCAATATCCAAAATTTAAATACACGGTCAGATTCAGCATACAGATCTGGAGCAACAGCCTCATTTATTTATTAATCAATGGAAAACATTATTAAAGATTCGTTTCATAGAAATATATATACATATATATAGTAGCCTGAAAATAAATTCTTGCAGTATAACATACAACCCTACCACAAAGCTCTTAAAGAAAATTTCCAAAAACAAAAATGAAAAACGACAATTTCCAAAATATCAATAATCATTAATACAATGATTTAAAAATCTATAAAACTTATCTGTAATTTCTTTCCCAAATAACTAATAATGAACAGTACATTTCAACTATATTTATACATAGTCTTTACTCTAAAATAAGAACTTGATGCTGTATCTATTTTTAATAATGATTCTTATCACAATTTCTCTTTTTTTGGGTAATACAGCTCTGAATTTGGATTATGATTAAATATTTGACATAGCAAAGGGTTCTGACACAGAATGAACGTGATCTAAGAACATAAACATGTGGATATTTGACATTTACCTTTAATGGTCAAATATCAGAAATCTAGATACATAGTAAAATTCAGCATATCAAAGAACCCTAAGAATTCGATTTGTGACGGAATCAACACAAATTTAATTATGGAACCTTTGAACCTCAACGTGAACTAATTTAAAAACGGGGTCCATAAATATAAATACACGGTAATTAGAATCAGCATAACAAAAAACCAGAAAAACACAAGACTTGAATGAAAATATTGAGTCAATGATTCCCTTCTAATGATAACACAGATGCCAGTGCATTAGTTCAGGTCCAACAAACACAGCATCTCTTATCTTTAACCTATATAACATTACAGTGTGTTGATATTTGTTTACTAACAATAATAATAATAATAATAATAAGTTTTTGTTCGTTGAAATGCCATTTATATGTTTGTGTGTCAGAATGATGTAACAGAGGTTGGCATTTGTATGCCAGAGGACAGGGAATTAAAAATAATGATAAATGGCAATCAAGAGAAACTCTAATGAAGACCAACATAGAGAATGAACACCAAGCAAAGGCATCGTTGTTTCCTATGATATTTTTTTGCAAAGTGATTATACATGAATTACAAATACAAGGTTTGGTGAGTGAATATTGAAATAAAATATCCAAGATGATTTATAATTCAAATTTAATCTCATAAAAGGAAGAATAAAATAAGAGCATTTGTTGAAATGGAAATCGAAAATAGAATATTTTCTTTTTCTTATTGTGTTAATTGAAACAAAGATTTATTTGCAGTGTGTCATCCAAACATGTCAGATAATATGCTAATTATCACTGTTTTTACAGATTATTTACTTTCACATGCAACCCTTCTGTGATGATTTTCTAATTTGTTTGTTGAGTCTGTTAACTGGAATGGATTTATGAAAACATTGTAGATTAGCAGACGAAGAAATAAGTTGATCCTTCTAGACAACAATGTTAGTAGAAAAAAGTAAAAACAAGGATTCTGAGAGTATTGCATTGCAATACATAGTCCCCCTACCGGTTAAAAATTCATTGTACTTGAACAAAATGCTAACTTGGTCTGTAACTTGTCATGGATACTACTATTTAACAAATATCATTTCAATATCTTCAAGCGTGACGAAAATAAATTGTCGAAAACTAATCATTAAGTGAATTTTCTAAGTACAAGGACCATAACTCTGCACAAAATCATCAGACCTGAACAAAATTCGATCTTGATATGTAACTTGTCATGACAAAACTATGTACTTTAGTACCAAATATCAAATCAAAATCTTCAAGCATGACGAAAAAAGAGTGGAAAACTGATTAATTCGGTGAATTTTCTAAGTACGAGGACCATAACTCTGGTCAAATTCATCAACATGAACAAAAATCAAACTTGATCTGCAACTTGTCAAGATAAAACATAACACAAAACATCAAATCAATATCTTCAAGCATGACCAAGGACCAAAACTATGCACAAAATATCAAGTAAGCGTGTTCACAGTAAATGAACAATAGAATTAGTAAAAAACATTTGGAATCCTATATCATTTCAATGAACAGAACAAATGGAAACTGTTTGAATGACATGTGTTTGGTAGATTTATGCTATGCAATGTATCGAAACAGAACACGTGTAAAAAAAGGTGGAATTGAACTTGTATTTCACAAAAGTTAATTCATAAACAATATTCAAACATATTCTGCCTACGTCTGAGGATGCAAAAGCTTGCATCTCTGAGAAAGCCATGCTTGCTTTCTGATTGATCTACTGTAAAATTTCTGTATTGTGGTAATGTCTTCATCCGAAATTTGAAATACTTGCTTGTCTTTAAGCCAGTGATCCTCAGGTGAATATGCAATACATTTAGTCACATCTAAAATGACTTTCATAATCCAGTTTATACATGAAGAACTCCAAATATATGTACACTTTATATTAATCATATGAATATTAGAAAACTCGCCTTAATACACGTGGACCTTTTGTTTTTAATTCTTTTGTTTTGGGCAAACAGTGTCCAGCTTCCACAATTGACATATTTGTATTGAAATTGACTATATAACACTTTATAGTTAAAGTGCATAAAAATACGAAAAAAAAAGAAAGAATCTATAAAACCACAATTGTCGGTATACAAAATGTTTGTATAAAATGTATCAATGAATGCATTGTGACTTTTTCTAAAGATACAGTTTAGATTTGGTTCTTTACATTTTCCCCGACCGGGGCTGGAACCTTTACTTTTCACTTCATGCTTCTACGACAACACCGCCTAGCATTTGTAGTTGGAAAAGAACCATATATCCTCTATGTGTGAGTACATATTCCCTTGTCTTTTGTTTCGGTCAATTACTGACGCCAAGGCTTGAATGGGGTAAAAATAAAAAAAAATCCTTGGTTTGATTTATTTCCTCGATTACAATGTAGCTTTGGTATACAAAAGATCGAAATTAAATCTATCAAGCTGTCAATACATGTTACATGTGTCAACGTATATTTGTTCCTTCTAACAGAAGTTCCCCTGGAAACGTTGTTATAAACAATGTCATAATATCTGTTCCTGTTGGAACAAATATTCTATACCCTTTATTCCGTAAGGAACAAATACTGTAATATTTGAACACAACCTACTGTTAATTGACTTACTGTATAATTAAATATCTAAGACAAAGGTTATCACAAGTTACCTAGAAATTTACAATAAGTGAATGAACTATTTAGTTTTTGAGGCAATGTTTGAATTATGTGAAGCCATACAAGACTTATCATGTACACATGCCACAAAGCTCAATGTCATAGAAGGACGACGGGTGTTATACAGTTAAAAATTAAGTGTACCTGAGTATCAATATCTAAAACAACTCCCTCAGCTGGTAACTGCACATCATGTATGTAGGGACCAGATGACTGGATGGCTGTTTGTCCTGCTGTGTTGGTAACCTTAATTGACACATAGTATGTATGATTTCCATGTAGATACCAGTCTAAATCAGATACATTGACAGCTGTACAAGATGGTGGTTGGCTCAACATACAACTGCTCCCTGATTTCAATGGTTGATAGCCTTGTACATCTGTTCCGTTAGAATTGTGGCCTGTACAAATTTTAGAAAAATTACATTGAAATTTTATTTTATTTTTTAATCTCGCTTTAAATAGGGTTTTCAAATTATGGGTTCAATATCGAGGCTATATCAATGTACAGCTATTATCCACCACTGCAAAGCAATGAATCCTTTTATGAAAGTAAAACTATAAAGGAAATTGTTTTCCAAGATATCTTAATTGCATTTATCAATGGCAAATAAAATCAGAGCAACGTGTTTTTAAACAAAAAATACAAAACAATTTCTCTCTATTTTCAAGTTGTAGCTTGACTTAATATTCTCTGAAAAAATGCCAAAAAAAAATAATAAACATAGGCGTAAACAGATCTTATGTAATTTTAATTTTTGCCATTAACTCTAAACATTTTTTCTATGAACTTTTGTTTAATGAATAATAAATAACGAGATGAATGTCATGTAAATAATACTTTTAATGAATATTATAGAATTATTTTTAATAGAATAACAACATGACATTAGATTAAGTAGAAACTACGGCAAAACTGACATAACATTCCACTCAATTTTTTTTCAACGAGCAAGACTTTAAACATACACTACTACATATTTACTAACCTTTAAAAATACATAATCTTCCGTGATCAAGTTTTTTGAAGGTGGAATACAAAATGTCTTATTTTGCTGACAAGATTTTTGCAATCAAAAAATTTCTGATATTTGAATATAAGGAGGTTATTCTTAAACCATTGACATGCAATGAATGGTGAATAATAACACAATTGCAAATCTCTAGGAAGGCAGACGAAATTGCGTATAAAAATCACAATGTCAGCTCATGCACTTGATAACAATCTTAAGTAAGGAACAGTCTTTGTCTGGTTGTTTTTCTTTTTAAACTCACATTGATGCTTTAACGAAGCTTGAATGAAGGCCAGTTTATAATTTTGACAATAATCAAACTTTGGTAAAAAAAAAATTACAGTCCAACACTGAATAGCCACAAAAATGGTTTCAATGAAAGGACAAAAACACAACTTTCTTATTTCCCTGCCAAATATGTTCCAAAAGAATGAGGACTTACCGATAGCAAATTGATAGTCCAGTGTAAATAATTCTTCACTATCAGACACAGCTGCACCAGGCCATGTGGTTACCAGATAATCCCCTAAAAGTTGTACTGTAAAAATACCACTACCTCCATCAATCTGTGGTGGTGTAGTATCCATGAGACATGGACCTAAAGTCTAAAATATTCATATAAATTTTTTAGCTTTGTTTATACTGAAGTTACACAGGTTAGATATAGTTCAAATGCAATTTGGTTCGCTGTTACATCTCTATCTTTGTAGTTGAAGCTATCTTTTTGAAAACTTTATGAAAGCCAAAATGGCTCATGTTGTTGCAGATATAACTCATGTGTTTACATTAAGTTTGATCTTCCACTTAAAGTAATATGAATTAAAGATTTAAAATCTTAAAATTGCTTTATAATGCCTGCTGTTCACAATAAGTATCACTCAAGCCAATTCCATCCTTCAAGATGCAAACTATACCATCAATGGGAAGACTATCATCAATGAGACACTCTTTAAAAACTTTGTAAGAAAAAAATGTTCCCTTAGCATTTGCTATTATGCAACTTTAACCAATACTGTAATGATTATGAAAATGTATCAAGCTAAACAGGCAACTGGAATAGAGTAACATATAAGAGTGGTGAAGGGAAATAAAAAAGACTTCCAAGATCCTGAATCGATCGCCTATCATAGTTTATGTTTCAAAATAAAATCAAGGAATGAGCTGTCAAATTGAAAGCAAACTGGGTTTTCATAAATGTCAAGGACCTCCTGATTGGCACAAACGAAAATCGCCAATATCAAACTTGACCATCATTTTGTCTTTAGTAACTGAACAATAAAATTTGAAGAGCATTGGTCGAACGGTTCATGAAGAGGTGTACAGAAACCACACAATGTGATATGCGCCAATCTATTAAGAAACACAACTCTTGGACGACAAAGGTATAACTCATCCTTATCGAACTTGACCATCTTTATTTTCATCAGTTACAACATATTCAAATTTCAAAAGCATGGGTAAAGTGGTCCATACGTTATTTCACGGAAAAGACATAAAATGCCTTTTTCCAATAGATCAAGGACCATTACTCCTAAACTATTTAAGTTAAAATCGTCAATATCGATTTTGACCTCAATTTTGTCATTAGTATCTATATAAAAAAAATTGAAAAGCATTGTCAGAAATGCTAATAAGTTATTGATCGAAATCTGTTGGCAGTCGCCCGCCCGCTCTTTCTATCATAAATTCGGCCAAAAACATATAAATGGTAAAAATACTCTTTTAAGACATAGGGCAATAACTCGTATATGGAATCAATTCTCGATATCTGTCAAATATGTCTTACTTTGTTAAACATGTTTCCTGTTTTAAAAGTGTGTCTCTTTCTATCATAGATTCTTAAAAGAAATAAAAAGAATGTCTTTCAATTTTTTTTTTCTATTTTTCAGTTTCCAAAAAAAAAATTAATAATTTAACTGGAAATAGTCTTAAAAGAGCAATAACTCCTCTAACGGATCGATTGAAGAATTTAGTCTTTAGAATTATAGGTAGATTTTTTTTTTTGTAGGACTATTTTGCTGTTTAAAATTTCCCTTCATCTATAACAGTTTTCCAGATTATAACCACAAACTGAGACATTTTATAACAATTATTATATCCGGATCTCTAACTCCTACACGTAATTGGGTTGTTCGATTCGTATACAATTTACCAAAAACCATCAGATCTTTATAGCCCGGCGTGCTTTAGTATTTGAGATATAATACAAAAACTGCATTTTAGAGCTGTTCTTTTTTTAGCAATGACTGTCTTGTTTGTTGTCTGATCGGAATTCAAACACAAACTACAAAATACCAAAAGAATCAGTCACCTTTAGTTTTGTTGAAATAAATTGGTTCTGTAAGTTCAGAGGAGAAACAACAACGGACGAAGACGACGATGGCCGCCAAGTGATGGCAATAGATCACATAGTCCTATGCATGATTTTCAAAGCAATAAACGGCACACGTTTTTTTACACATTTTTTGGTATTAAACGTCATGTCTTGACATGATTTGTCATTACTAGAGGTTGGCAACTATATATGGATTAGAGTAGAAAATCTGAAGAAAAACAATCTTGTTTCATGTTTCTGTTTTCAAATTCAAAAGGAGAGACCATTGATCTTGATTAGCCTTATCGTTTCACTCACGGTATAACATCCCTTGCACTTTTTTTAATCCCTAGTATATCTGATATACCTACTGGTTTGTGCACATCTATTAGCCCCATTATATCAAATTTACTAATTGTTTGAAAATGTACGTACTGTAAGCCCTTCCACATTAGATTTACTGATTGTTTTGATGATGATAAAAAACTGTGACCCATCAGGTATATTGGTATGCATCACTCTAACATGGGCATGTTGTTTTGTCGACTCAAATGCCATGATGTCAGGAGCTGCACTTCCTGCTGTTGAAGAGAATCCAACTTCATAATCAAATACTTTGGCCGGTATGTCAAGAGGTTCCCAAGACATCTCTAGCTATAATGTAAAAATCTGATGGATCATCATCACATATATAATACTAATAAAGACAATGATAAACATTTGTGGTAACAAGACATCACTGGCTTTTCTATAAAACTGGATGCGTTGGTACATTAAACTAAGACATTGAAAAACATAAATAAGAAAAAAAAACCAACAGCAACAAAAACAAGAAACATCCTTAAACATTATAGAATGTCAAGCTTTCAAACAATAAATGTATATGAAGGGCCTTAAAAAGGAGATTATGAAGGGACTAACATCTACAAAATAAACAAAAGGGCAAAACAATCCGATAATGAGAAATAAAGAGAAGCACTGACAAGTTTTTAATGGCTTCTAAAGCCGAGTAAGATCTATTTTCGATTATCACAGATTCTTTAAAGAGCCTTTAATTAATGAATATTAATTACTTGTGACAAAATTGATATTAAGCTTGACAATGGTACAATAGCAAAAATATTGGTTCTGTGTAGAACTTACCAATGATGATTTAAACAAGGTTAATCCTATGACACTTGGTGATGAACTGGAATTAGAACAGAAAACATTGCTGTCTACTTCAACAATGCTTCCATTGTCAGTTCTCATCAGAGGAAAAATATCTGTACCATTCAAAGGTGTAGCTTTAGTTCTATATAGAATTAGTATAAAAACAATATTCTATTAATATCTTACAGCAAAACATAATATATATATAACGTAATTGTATAAGACATTGTGAGTAGACGAAGCAAAACCTAAACAAAATAGACAGCCTTCATCTATGAGATTAAACTCACACTTTTAGAAAACATGATGATGGCTACATGACGTAAGTGTGAAAGATTATAAAATCAAATCTGAAATCCATTTTATAGGATTTTAACCGACTCATTTGGAGTTAAATTTTGGGTCAACAAGGGGATAACCTTAGTCCTAACCTTTATATTTTCTGTATACACGACTTTTCATCATATATTGATAATGAGGCTGATGATCGGACCTTGGGTGATACAAATATGAATTATTTAATGTATGTAGATGATATTGGTTTGCTCTCTGCCATCCTAGATGGTCTTCAATCTAAATTAAAAATTATCGATTAGTTATGTTCTGATTGATGCGTAAACATAAACACCAACATAACATATATTTTAGTGAGAACATCAAGTTGAATTGGAATGTCTACAGGACTATAAGTATTTTGGTCTTATATTTTCTGCTTCAGTGCTCTTCTTCCATGCAAGACAGGAACTGTACAATAAGAGTCTAAAAAGGCTATAATAATCTATGCAAAGATGTTATCCAAAAACTACTACCATTTCACATCTATTTGATCATATGATCAAATCCATTTCTTTATATCCCTCTGCATTTTGGGGTACGTTTAACCGAAAGTATATTTAGAAATGGTATACACCTAGATAAAATATCATTATATCTCGAACCAGATAAATTACATGTGAAATAACAAAATTTAGTTTGGGTTTTTATAGAAAGTTTTCATGCGCTGTATTGTTATTTCAAAAGACGTCGCTTAGATATTTCATATATGATATCTAACAGTTTATGCATTTTTGAAACTGTCACTGAGTAACCGAACACTTTCTCTTGTAAGAGTTACCTCCCGGAACACTGTTTTCTATGCGTGTAATACACCTTTGCAACCGTAAAAGATTACTACCAAATTGCTAATTCTATCGGTTGTCGAGAACAATTTTGATCGAAGAGATCTGAAGATTCCATATGAGAGTTATTTCCATTTACTTAGTATGTACTAGAACACACCCGTGATATCGCGGGTCCGTGACTGAATTAAAGTATATAACTATGTGTAAGCCTTATTTAGCCTGGATTTTTAGTATTGGTATTGTCATCTGATAAAGTCATGCTGATTATAAGATGCACAGTTTTCTCTGCTTTCAAAATCTTTCTGTTTGAACCGGCCGACCTGGAACTGATCGATTATTGGTAATATTAATTATTTGGAAAACAAAAGGGCCTGGAATGGAGTAATTTTTAATCAACAGCATATATATATTAGTTATAAATAAAGTTGAACTATTTGATTCGCTGTTTTACGTCATGCCGGCTAACAAATTGGAAACTATACCAATATGCCTCATTTTAAGTCTAGTTTTTTTACTATTTGTATTGTCATCTTATAAAGTCATACTGATTAAAATACTACCAATGTGACAATGATTGAATTTAGTAGTGTCAACCCTGTGATTATGACCCGTGTATATAGCAAATCCTAAATACACCGTTTGGTGGTGCGCCTGTCAGATGAGAAACGTACATATAAGGTAATAGGTAACAGGTGAATATACTATTGGTATCGGTATCGGATTCGACCCGGAACTTGTTAATTATTGGCAATATTAATTATGTGGAAAACAAAAGGGTCTGGAGTGGTGTAATTTTTAATCAACACCATTGTCCTATATTAGCTATAAATAAAGTTGAATTCTTTGATTTGTCGTTTTTACCCCATGACGGCTAACAAATTGGACCTTGTTATTTTAGTATTATAGATTTGACATAATTGAAATGTAATAGTAATTCATAAACTATAAGTGATAAAGACCTATGGTCTTTAGATTTGAGGTCCTGGTCTACCAGAAAGAAAATGAGCTTAATTTCAAAGGTCAAGGTCATGTTTTATTTGTTTTGCTTTTGTTTCTGCATGCTACTCCTAAAAAACTGTGATATATATCATGCAAGATTTTTACTTAGTTGTTAGTTGCAATATGCCGTATTTTGAAATTTCTCTTCGAAGCGGTGCGATAACATTAACTAGGAGTTTGCTCCCCTTGAATGTTAAAAATAAGATATATGGTAATTTAACATATTAACAATACATTGTAGAGACCTAAGGTCGTTTGATATGAGGTTCGTGTTTGATGACATTAAAATGAATGTCTAAGTCATAAGTTAATTATATATATTTTAGATTTTTACCTTTGCTTTAAATTCATATTGATACATGATGTAGCCATGGGACATTTTGCATTACGTTGCAAGCTATATGACCTTGAAAAATGACAACCGGAAAAATGTGTTTGTAATCATGGTAAATTATAAAAAAAACACATATTTTGTGAATCAGTGACAAGTTAACTAGCATATTAAACCAGAAATGACATTTTTTTCAAAATGGAAGTAACAAGTTATAATTTCCCTGATTTCCAACAAAAGTGTATAAAAACCATATATATTTGGAATCAGCGAAAGAAAGCTGTTATCTGACACTAGAAATTTCATTCTAAACTGATTTTAATATCATCATCGTTATCGGGTGAAAATACCTTTAATTGTTCTCTGAACAATTGGTTTTTAATTGTCTGTACAATTTATCTCCGAAAACATTGAACAAATTCTTGTGTGCGCTACTTCACTGAAACTACATGTCCAATTGACCTCAAACTTTGCAGCCAACAGGGTACACATGTATTCCTTCTAAGGTTGTACAGTTACCTCCCAAGAATTTTTGTAGCGATAACACAAGTAGTAGAAATCGCTTCCGAGCTCCGTAAATATCAGTGAAATCAACAATAAAAGTCTGCTCATAGATTAAAATTCAAATCAGCGCTAAAAACTACTGCTGAAATATGAACACTGTAAGCAAATAAGTGATACACGTGTTTAAGAAGAACACAGGATAAAATAAATCAAAAGCATGCACTGCTCGTGAACTCCAATCAAAACATCAATTACCTACAATAACAAAAGAAACACTTCATGTATTATTGCGCCAACATCTCTACATAAAAAGAAAGAAATGTGCTACGTTTTCGCTAAAACGAACAAGCTTCGTGACGTTAGATCTGCACGAGAGATGCGCGCGGAAATTGCATAAAAACTTTCCAATCTAAATATAGAAATTTTACCAAAACTAGGATGCAGACCCTTGTATGGAAATGTTAACTACGGTCACGCCCCTCTTTTTTTTTATTAAAAGGGGGTTAATAAATCTGTTTGTTGCTTTTAAGGTATCATAATAAATAAAAAGATATCACTCGCTGCACGGTATATCTCTTTTGTGTGTTTTACTCATGTTTTTTTCTCTCTGTGTAATGTGAACAATTGACTGGTAGCTGTTCTGACATTCATTGAACAATTAAAAAAACAGACAAAGTAAGCAAACAAAAACAAACAAACAAACAAAGAAATATAGCAATAAATCATGTTTCAAAAGGGCAAACAAACCGACAAAGCAAGCAAGGAAAAACAAACAAACAATCATAGCAATCACTCATGTTTCAAAGGGTAAGACCGTTTACAATTGGTTTATATGATTAATAAGCGTTTGTAACCATTTCAATTAACGGATTCTTTCATAATATGTCTCCCTGGGACCCCTTTCCGCCTTTTTCCCTTCACTTCCTCTATTTACACCTCTTGACGATACTGTGTGCTATCCTGTCAATGGACAAAAACGACAACTCATTTTTTTTACATTAGTTAGATCTTTCAATCTTTCCGAGGAAAACCCTATTGATTTTGTTCTGTTTATTATTACGTCTTTTTATTTTTCCATGGACAGACCTATTGATTTTGTTCTGATTATTGTTATTAGGTCTTTCCATCTTTCCGTAGAAAGACCTATTGATTTTGGCCTAATTATTAGATCTTTCCACTTTTCCGTGGAATGACCTATAATTGATTTTGATCTGTTTATGAGGTCTATTATTTTCCGTGGGAAAACCTTTTGCTTTTGTTCTTATTATTTTAATTTTTTTTTCTTCCGCCTATTTTTTTTTGCGCTGTTTTTCTTGTTATGACTCTTCTCCTTTGCAACTGTAAAAGAAACCGATTTATTTTCCAAATTGCTCCTTATATCCTCATAATGTTACGTTTAATTTTGACCGAAGCTTTCCAACGACTGAATTTGAGCGCTATTTTCCCTACTGTATTTTAAAAAAAGTGAAATGTAATTGTAACTGGTAAACCATAAGTTATAGAGACTAAGGGTTGTTATATTTAAGGTCCTTGGCCCTAAGCTGTCAGTTGCGACATTTCGTAACATATATATGTAGGACTTTGAACCGCGATGGTACTCCGAACCACGATGGTCACGCTGAGATGCGATGGTTTGACGCTGAAGTGCGTTTTGATTCACGCTGAAGTGCGATGGTGTCTTTGTGACGCTATCTTGTTGATAGTAACGCTGAAGTGCGATGGTCTATACAAACTACATTTGCAATACTTTTCATTTCGATTTAGCTGTTGTTCAGGTTTTTAAGTTGATAAGGGGCTTATAAACTTTTACAACTACAGGAAACGGGAAGGATTGGCGGCTAGGTGAAATTTAATCTTCTGCAGCGATATATTTTTTTTCGAAATTTTTAAAAGCTTCTTTTTGTTTTACGTACGATTGGGCCTGACATTTTTCTTAATACATCAAGGTCCATAAACAGAATCTCTTCATTATACTATTGTGGTTAACGAGGAACTTATGAGAGAAATAACGTATAGATAAAATAATAATGCGGAATTATTTCCATATGCAGAAAATCAAGGAGGACGATCTCTAATTTAGTATGCAACTGTTATTAAGATCATTTATTAACCATGAATAACTAATATAAATTAATATACTTACTATTAATAAAATCTATCTTTCATTAAAAATTGCACATCTGTAAATTTTAAACTTAAATTATACGTCAAATACTTAGACCATCGAACATCAGCGTACGCACTTCGGCGTTGACCATCGCACTTCAGCGTCCCTCTCGCACCTCCGAGTCCTACATATATGTTGGTTGAAAAGCTACGTTGACATTTAATGGAAGTTTTGTAGCTGTATTGTGATATAACTCAAAAGTATATAGTAAAGACTAATGGTCTTTTGATTTGAAGACTTTGCTTGTTGACCTTGAAATTTCAGTTAAGGTCAAAGGTAAATTTGACGTTCTAGATTTTGAACTATGATATAACTTCATATTGATACATAATAAAACGATAGGGTAATTTGCATTTGATAGGAAAACGCATGACCTTGAAAATATCAACCAGAAGTGACACTCAGTAGCTGGAAGTAACCTTTTTTTGCATTGATTTAATGTAAAAGTATGTAGAACAATATATTTTTGGGATCAGTGTCAAGTCATCATATAATACAAGAAATTACATTATTAAAAGCAAAAGTGTATTGAAACAATATATTTTTTTCGGAATCAGTCATAAGTAAACTATCATCTGATACCATAAATGACATTTTATACCGTATTCAATATCTTCATATTAAAATATGGGAATTCTGGCGTGGAAAGACCTTCAATTATTCTCTAAACAACTGGTTTTTAATTATTATTAATATTATCTTTATTTATTTTTTGTTTCTTCCACCATTTTCATTTCTTGCGAGAAGATTTTGTTTCAGTGTGAATAAACCAATAGTAACTTTGAGTAAACTGGAAGTATCTTCTTATAAATCATTTACAAAATTGATGTCGAAAGACCTTCAATTGTTTGCAGAACAATTGTCTTTTTTTAATTATCATAGTGTTCCTTTTAACAAGATCTTGATCATTTAACATCGTGGTCACCAAAAATTCGCTTACATAAATATATACATGTATGTAAAAATCTCCAAATAAAAATGAGCTATTCTATTTACAGACACACATTTCCTACTGGTAATTATCCGTTCTAAGACAACATGGGATTCATGGTTGCATGGGTGTATTATAATAACGAAAATGATTCTATTTCCATGGTAACCTATCGAAATGTTTATTTTCACGGAAATCTTAAAATTAATATCTATTGACTCCTAATTCCAAAATCATCTCTCTAAATTGTATTCTACAGCTTTATACGAAATGGGGACATTAAACATGCTAGTGTTCGATGTGTTACTCCTTTTAAATGTATGAAGGTCCTGAAGTCAAATTTCCGATCTTAAGATTTCACAGCTGTCGAACCGTTTCCTCGTACTGTATTGTCTCCTACAATGTCCAAGAAGTAAATTGTGCCTACTAGCAACGATATATCGAATGATTATTGCTTTGTCATTGTATGCGCCAACTTTAAACTACGCAAATAACTATACTTCTTTTCAATACATTGTGTATTTGTCTGGTGATTGAATTCTGTAGAAGCATGGCGATCCTCAGTAGCAGAACTTTGATTGGCAATATGTGTCCCCTTATCTGAAAATTACCTGTATGGTGATATCATTCATTAACCATATAAAGTAGATATCTAAGGTCTTTTGAATTGAGGTACTCCCTTTTAAGATCATGAAATTTAGGTCAAGGTCAAAGGTAAATTTGACGTTCAAGATTTTGACCTTGCTGTCAATTCATATTTATATTTGATAAAGTTAAGGAAATTTTCTTCTTTATGTTGGAAGATGTGACCTTGTGTAAACCGGAAGTTACAATGTCATGCACTGATATGCTGATTTCATTTAAAATTACCTAGAACGATATAGTTTTTGAATCAGTTAGAATATACCTATCAGATGGTACTAGAAATAAGCTTTTATTAAATCGGAAGTTGTACAACAGTAAATAGAAACCATATATTTTTGGAACCAATGTGTCTAAAGCTATCATATTAAGAGACTGGAAGTGACATTTATAAACCGGAAGTAGCAAATAATTCTCCTTATTTCAGACAAATGTATATAGAAACCATATAATTTTGAAATCAGTTTAAAGAAACCTATGATTGGACACCAATAATAACTTTGAGTAAACCGAAGGTACCTTTTTATCAATTATATGGATTTTTTTAATAATTGTATTTATAATTGTGATTTTATTGTCATAAATGTATATGCACTTTGCCCCTTGCGGGTATCTCTTATGGAAATAAAATGTATTTTATTCTATTTTATAGTGCATGAAAATGGAGGTATACACAGATGATAAGACAACCATAAACTATAAATTATTTAAAAGCACTAAACTATTGATACTACATGTTTAACTCCGCCGCATTTTTGCGCCTGTCCCAAGTCAGGAGCCTCTAGCCTTTGTTAGTCTTGTATTATTTTTAATTTTAGTTTCTTGTGTACAATTTGGAGTTTAGTATGGCGTTCATTATCACTGAACTAGTATATATATTTGTTTAGGGGCCAGATGAAGGACGCCTCCGGGTGCGGGAATTTCTCGCTGCATTGAAGACCTGTTGGTGACCTTCTGCTGTTGTCTGTTCTATGGTCGGGTTGTTGTCTCTTTGACACATTCCCCATTTCCATTCTCAATTTTACACAACAGAAAACAAAACTAATCAAAATTTTGGGCCAATTCTTTACTTGCAAAGAATTTTTGTTTCTTCTTTAAAAGGTCTGGTTCCTTAATCTACAATGTTTATCATTATAAACAACAGCAGTATCATAGATGTGTGTTCCCTCACATTGTGTATTCTTACATCAAAATACAAAAATAATGAAATGAGGTATCAATCTCTGATATTATTTAGTCCCGTGGTGTACAAAGTGCATACTTACATACAGTCAGCAGTTGGATTAGGAATCAGTCTCCTAATTCGATCTGGTCCAATGATATAATATTTTAAAGTATCTCGATCTTTGACAAGACCACCAGTGATAATAAAATCTGTAACAACTACTTCCTTAACTCCTGGTACAGAACTGTCTATCGTAACACCATCAGAACAAACTGGTTCTGAAGGGTCAAGGGCTCTGTTATAAGCCACAACAGTGAAGTAGTAAGTACCATCACCATTGACTGTGTGACTACCAAAAGTATTATATGTCTCTATAATCTGAAACAAAGAATGATCAGAATCAATACAGTTAATTTTACACAGGGTTATTCAGCTAAAGATCTTGGTGTCTTTTAACAATGAACACTGTTACTAGTTGGCGACTCACTCTCAAATATTGATATTTTAATATTTTATACTTATTGACTGGGTATGAGTGGACAAGTAAGTTTATTGTCCCTGAGGCGCAAATATTGCCGTGAGGTGTAGCCGAGGTCAATATTTGTATCCGAGGGGACAATACATTTACTATTCCACGAATATCTAGTCAGTAAGTGTTTTATTATACCGAAGAGACAACATATGTGAAACGGATATTACATAACGGTCAACCAACTCGTGATGGCGTCCATAAAATTTACGAAGGGATGACAACATTCACCAACAAATAGAATTAACTTGAGACAATACAACCTATTTTTTTTAGCACACGTAAGTTGGCTGATGACATATCTGACAATAATTCACACTCATGATCCCTATTTCTAATGCAGTAAAATGTCAGTCACTAACAATGCTGTTTTAACAATAATGAGAACATATGTTGTGTAAAATTCCATCTGGTAACAGTATTGTGTTCAAGTATCAAGACATTTGTTTCTTGCAAATTATGTCGTAAAAATAGTTGTGCTTGAATTAAACAACAAGCTTTTTACAGTTTAATGTCACGTCTGCAACATAATTAGGTTTTTGTCAAGAAAGACAGTGTAGTTTTTAAAGATGATCTTAGCCTTTGAAATGAAACAATGATTAAATTTGACTTACGTTTGAACCACCAGGAACAAAATCAGTCTGATCAGCACAACTTGTATTAACTATATACTGGTAGAAAAATACCCCACTCTCTCTGTCGAAGAACTGGTCCCAGTAGGCACTTAGGTCCATTCCTTGTTGGTAGTCTATTTCTGGGTTTCCTTGTAGTCCATCATGAACAGCACCGGAATGTGGTGGACTAACATCTATGGTTATCTAACAAAAAATGTTGGTTTTTAAAATGTACGTAGTTATATTATATATCAGGCTAATATGTATCATAATTAGGCTTTTTCTAAACAAAATCCAAGGAGGTGGCTTAAATATTAATAAGAAGCCATCTGATAACACAGGTTTATCAAATATACACATCGGCAGATACAGAAACTAGTTTGCATAGAGGGAAAAGAGTTGTAATACAAAATGGTTAAGGATAATAAGGCGGGTTCGGAATCATTAAACTTAATTATCAGCCAAACAGGACTTAGAAATATCGACATCTTAAAACATAATATTATGAATTAATCCAAGGTCAACTTTCGGGGTCTAACAAAACTATTAATTGTATGCGTCCGAAACGCTTTTCTGGATTGATCATCATCAGGGACGCCTTATCATTTTGCCAAATGCTTAGTTTCCTCATACAATAATTCATTATTTATCAAATATTTTGCAAAGGAGAAATGATACTTCTTAATAACAAAGTTTAATATCTTTAATATACTTGAGTGACTAAATTTTACTACAAAACAAGAGTACGTAGACTTTCTAGTGAATGAACATCCTTTATCTTATCAAAATCTTCAGAAATGTACTACTATTGAATTATTGTCTTCCCGTGCTCTAATTTGAAGATATTTTTCTGTATGCACTGACCTTAACTAAGAGACATCGCAAATGCGATGGAAAATCGCGGTAAAAGAAAGTTAACTGTTATGGGAAAGTTTGGTAAAAAAATGGGGAATACGCAAAAAAGAAAAATGATAACATCACTCTATCATTTAATGTATTTTGCACGTGCTCAATGGTTCCGTGTCGATTGTTTATCAATGCCACTATCCTGTAAACTTCGACAAAAAATTCGAAAGTTTATTAACTTGCGATCAACAATCACTTAATGAAATATCATTTGCAATAAAAATTATTAGTTTCATGGTAAATGTTAACAAATAAAACGTCCATAGAAAACTAACTTGAATATATATGCATACATTGCTTCAACAATTTCCTCAACATCGTAATCACAAAAAACTCATTTCATATGTAATTTAGTTGTTTGTATTATAAGATACTACGGAGAAACCAACCTTTCTGGTCAGAACCGTGGTAAGATTAGCAAAACTTGTAACAGATATCTCTATAAAATAATCGTGTTCATGTGTTCCGCTATTTTTGTTTTCTATCAGTCCTCCATGTTCTTTAATTTCAGGTTTAATTTGGAAATGACGATGGAAACATCCATGAAATGGTGTACAGTAGCAGTTAGCTCCTCTAGCATTTTGACTGTATATATCTTCACAATGTGTCAGATTCTGAAATAATTTTTAAAAAATGCAACTGTAATTATATGTACATATTCTGATGTTCTTTAAATGCTTTTTTGAGTACACACCCGTGGCAGAACACAAATACATTGAATGTCAGCTGATCGGCAACGTCATGATTTGTTTGGGCTGTTTCAATCATAGGTACTCCCACGTCATATGTTTTTATGGATGAGTTACAGGAGGTCAATTGGTGTAAATTAATTATACGAAGAAATATATTGACCTAACATATTTATTTGTAGTTTGCATGCACAAACACTTATTGGAAGTGGTACACAACCAACTTTCTTTATAAGACAGTGCCATTTTAATCATTTAACTTAATCCTAATCCTGAAAAAGCAAATATTTACCTTCACCTCGAGCGCTTCGATCCAAAGGAATTGCAGTCTTTGTCCTATTAGAATAGAAATAACTCACAGGGTCTTGAATTAATATTGATTGTACCAAAGGTTTGCCCTTTAATGCTGGTATTTTACACCTCGCTATCCCTCGTGGTAAAATATTTAGCATTAAATGCTATTAACCGATTTCAAATCAATATAAATTCAAGCCTCAATGAACTATCTTAATTTCAAAAATGTTTATAACTCACTTTAGCATGTCCCTGGGCTATGACATCTTCATGCCCATGGAGAACATCAGTCATGCTGTCATATAATCTCCAAAACACGGAGTCTAATCCACTGTGAATATCATATGCTACCCATTCTATCCTGTGGTGAAATAAAATATATAAGATAATGCGGGCATATCTGGAAATGTACTTTAATTTTAGGAGCCGCCATATATAGGAAAGGAAACTATAATCATATAACATACTTGTATATAAAGAACGGAAGCGCAAAAAGTAAAAAAAAATATTCCAAAAATCAAGAAACTAAGGTGAACATCTAAGTCGCCTGGTAAAGTTTTGTTTAAGAATAGCAAATCTACATGGCGCCTTGAGTGAATCGTGGTATTTTCTTTTCACAAATTTCTTTTCGTCTATTTCAACAATCACATTTGTAAACCATTACAGTAATCAAAAGACAGTTCGTTTTCAAATGACAACTTTTCTTTGGAAGTGAAGTAATAAAAATTGCAGTCAAAATGTGTCAATCAGGGAAATAACTATTTTCTTAAAAAACAATATATATTTATAAAATATTGTGGATTTATAAAATAGACCAATAGTTTGTAAAGCATGATCTTTCAATATGTAAGTCAGTGGCTTAGCATACAGTTCCACAAGAATAAAATCAGTGGTCAATCTATTCTTTCTTTGACATAAGGGGTAAATGACAAAAAATGTAACAAGACTGCTTTATCGTAAATGACCGAGGAAACCCCTCCAGAAAGTAAGAAATATAAATGACGGTAGATTATTTGCCAAGAAAGTATGATGACAAATACATTCTACCAAATATGAAAGCTTTTGGGAAAACGGCCTGTGAGTTAAAAGTATGAGTGGGTTTAGTAGAGATATAAAGATAATGCCACCGAGGCTCAAACGGCAGGGATCAATACAATTCACTCTGAATTTGATTCAAATTCTGTATTGAAATGTATTTGCAGAATATTGCAGTTTAATAATTTGAATGTCCTTCATTGTTTCATAACCGATAAGGAAATACATAAAAGCATACCATTACTTTAAATAACCATCGTTAAGTGTTGCCGAATTCAATAGTTACCATGGAAACAAATATTATCCACAGCAACATCCATTCAAAAGCTGTATAAATTGAAATTTATGTAAAAAAAATACATATACAGAGGGTGTTTATTTTCGAATTGGAATATGACTGCATGCTTTGCTACACTCACAGTCTTGTTTTTTTTTTTCAGAGGGTTCAACAAATGTAATATATAATGTAACATTGGTGTTGGAGGGTTGGGAAAAAAGAGGGGGTAGGTTTATTTTTTAAATGTTTCATACATGAAGATCCTTGAAAAGATAATTGCCTTTGGTCGGATTTTGTTCAGAGTTCATCATCTGATATTCAATTTATGAAAGTTAACAGATGACGAACTTCATGGGATTGCAATAGTCCGACCTGGCTTATGGTAAGGCAAGATAAATATTGTCCCTTACCGATTGTAAGAAAATTCTTAATTTCTTAGGTCACACACAAGTCTGAGATGTTATCCCACCAGCAAAAATCACAAACTTGACCTGTAACATAATAATGAGCTTACAAACCAAAAATAGAATCATTTTGTCAAAGCATTTCTAAACTGAAACTGAAGTGTGACGGACGGACGGATAGACGGACAGATCAATTGAACACATATTAAGTCGACGGGGACTTAAAAAAATGAAAAGTCAATTGGAGATCGTTGATGTCAGAAGTCCAGTATAATGAAATCCTCTTAATATATAGCTATAAACATATCATTAATAACTCCTGTGTTGTACTACTTTTCCGCAATTGGAATTCTGGATCTCCAAGATAGACGAATAGGTACATCTGCTTAGTTGGAATTGTGCTAATCCCGGTAAAATAAGTATGCTATTATCGGTAAAATTATATCAGAACAAAATTATTGTACAAAATAATTGTATTAATTATGAATCATTCCTTACTATGCACCGTACTACATATATCTCATAATTTCATGATTCCGGTAACATTAGATCTTTTTTTGCAGGAGCCAGTGAGGGGGGGATGGGGTTTAGTTGAAGCACAAATTTAATTCTTCTGAAATCCACCTCCTCTCCTTTTAGATAGTAAACATGTAAAAATGTATCATTTTTTTTAGGTTGAATCTTCAAAAAAATCGTTTTGCTACTCTAAACGGTTTTTTAACCTTTTGATGAATTACGACCCTATTTCCTGTATCCGTCTCTGTAACCTTTATAAAAGACTCTGCATTAATCCCGAGATTTGGAATGAAACCACTAAGCTGAGAATATGTGCATAGATACAAGATTAACAGTTAATTCGAAGACAAAATACACATATGGTCTTATTTCATGAACTGCAACACTAGAAACAGTACAGTACATACCAATCTTATTTTTCTTTGTAATTGTCGATGCTTTCTAGTCCCATCAATTTGTTATCGTTCATGAATACAACACTTTAGTGTCCCATGTGAAATAAAAGAACAAATTTCCCATTGCACATATTTTATCTATCCAAGGTACAAGGGCAATAACTAAAATAAACACTTTTTATGCCCGCGCCGCAATTGGATGGGGGTAGGGGTGGGGGGATGGGGGTGTAGTCTGTAAAGCAAAATATAGTCCTATGAAATATTGTCCACGAAGACAATATTTCATGACTATGTATCATGAAATATTGTCCTTATCCATGAAAAAATGTCCAGAGAAGGACAAATTTTCATTGTGAAATTTTGTCAGTATATAGACAATATTTCACAGATGAATACTATCATGAAATGTTGTCCTGTTAAAGGGAGGTAATATTTTGTTGTAATGAGACAATATTTCATAGACAGATTGTCTCATGAAGGGGAGGTTATCAACATATATCATGTTGGATAATGATATCATTAAAAGTGTTTTATTTGATTGATAATAACAAATAAACACAAATTGATAAATAGATACAGGTATAAACAGAAAACTAATTTTGCTCATGGATGGCAAGGAATACAAAACACTTTTCGAATATCTCAGTCATAAAGTTGTACCGGAAGGGCATTTCTGAAAATCAGAAAATAGTTATCAGAAGAAAGGCTAATCCATTTTGTTTACAAAATAATGAAATTTATTCCAAATTTTTTGACAAGAAAACAAATGATGTTACCAAAAAAAACTTGTAATTCATGAAGATCAACTTGAAAAAGTTGCTTTACTTGATTTACAAAATAATTTCAGTTATAAAAATTTTAAAATGTGCATGCTGCATGCTTGTGTACTGTTTTTAATTCTGTAATAATTTGATTGAGAATTGTGTTCATGGACAGTATTTCATAGTGAACATATTGTCCTCCATGGAATATTGTCCGTCGGACAAAATTTCATATAAAATATTGTCCGTGGACACTATTTCATAGTGAAATATGTATGATAACTATAATTCAGAAAAGTTGAAAATATGCATATTTTTCAAAAAATTTACTAATTTGGTTGACATGCAATCTTAACTAAAATGAAGCTTAAACCAAGTTGTATCAATGTTATATATGAACATTTATGAAAAAAGTTTGATTCTATTCATAATCAGGCTTTGAATTGTAGTGATTTATCTGATTTTTGAAAGAAATTACCACGCTTAACTACCAAAAAATAAAGCGTCCGTTACCATGGCAACCACTCAAATTTATTTTTTGAGCAGTATTCAGCTACTGCTTCTCCTAGGCCATTTATAGATAAAATCTGAAACCCTCATATATCACATGTATATGGCACTCTGCCTAGTTCTTATAAAGAGCTGTACTTTAAAAATGGTAAGCCTTTAAAACGGTCTCTAGAACCGAGTACAGGGACTCATAATCTTCAAAATTTATTTCGTGCTACCTTTGTTTTTGCAGACAATATACTAGTTTGTGATTGATATATATTACAGTGACGAAAAAACATAGGAGCAAGAAAACTCAGGAAAAGCAGTAAAAAATCGGAAAAATTCAATATACTAAAGTAAACCCAACTACTGTTCTAAAAGATCCCCCCTCTCTCAAAAAATAAAAAAATAAATACAGTAACATTTAAAATGGATGGAATATGTAATGAAAATTAAAAAAAAAAAAAAAAACACTAGCCTGTAACTGTTTGAAAATTGAGTTGTTGTAAGAACCATTCAAAACAGACCTACATTTATCTTTTATTTCGTATTTGAATGATCCAAAATCAATCAAAGTCTTATGCATGTACAAATATATGTACACGTGCATGCATAAGGTCGATTTCTAATCCGAAGCAGCTCAGTCTTCAAAAATTTCATGCGTTCGAAGCGCTTTTCTGATTTTCCTTCATTTTGGAATATTTGAAAGCCAATAATGTAGAAGAACCGAAACATTTAAAGATCTATATGACCAAAAGAACCTAAGAGATAGCCAAATACATCTAGAGTCAACTTTGTCTGATGGAGTTGAAACATTGATTTTATTTATAAACGGACAAATGTTTGAATGATTGATTTGTGGGTGCCTAACGTCCAAAGGAAATAATACATGCATGTTCAAGACGAGAACAAATTCACATTAGGTCCCGATATGTAGGTCCTGTAAGAGGGACGTTTTGGAGGAAGATTGGGATTTTTAGAACGTCACTGAAAATGAAGGTACATTTGATATGGACAGAAATTTTGCCTTGCAACAGGCCAAGATCCCTTAACTTGTAGTGAGCGTGACACTCTCTCTACACGCCCCATTCTGACTGCGAACGCACAACCCAATAGAGGACGCCATTTTGCAAGGGTTTTACAGCCGGTCTGAAGAAGCCCAAGTGACAATTGTTTCTATTCCCCAGTCCTCATTGGTGGTAAACAATTTAAGAAAGGTTTGATAAAATAATAATCAGTACCGAAGTTCTGACTACTGATATCATGATAAACTCGTGTGACTTATCCAATGTATTTTATAAACAACGAAATAAATAATATGTAAGCTTTAAAACGATCATTTTCAAATAATAAAAACAATTGAAATGTGTATATGATATGCGTACACCTCAAAGATATACATTTTTAATTTCTATTCCTTTAATTTCTTATGGAAATAAAGCTATGATGGTGCTTTACTTTTGTGTGACCAAGCATAGCAT